AACTGTCAGAGGAGGAGTTTTATACGATGGTGGAGGCTTAGGCATCTTTCACTGATGCCGCATTTGAGACGTTTAGTAGCCAAATTGAGGCTCATTTTGTATCGTATCAAGCTTGATTGATGGAAGAAGTGAACTAATCTTGATGTCTGTGAGAAATTACATGAGCAGTTACTTAATAATTATAGGAAAAATATTTCCAACCAAAATCAAGAGAAATCTTTATTTCGGGTTTCAAGTACTCCGTATAACATTAACAACCATGCTTGATGTACCCACTTTTATACCCACCTTATACCCACCATGTTTGTGGAGGTTTTTTTGTCTGTGAACTCGGGTTCACAGACAATATTTTGTTTATGCAAAATGTGAAAGTATATTAGAATATACTTTAGAATATGCTTTAGAATATATTAGGAATATACCATATATAGTATTATTGTATAGCATCTTGTATAGGAATATTCTATCTTTGTAATCTATATTTATAGGGCCTTACCCTTCAATGAAACGCACAGAAAATCCTTCTCTCCATCTTTAATATCATTCTAGTTTATATTTAACATGGTATCAGAGCCATCCATTTTAGTTTAGTTTTTTCCAGATTTCAGTTAATTTTCAGATTGGATTCTTCCTTGAGTTCAGTCTTTATAACCTTCAACACCAGTCTGTCTCTAAATTCTTTCTTCAGGATTTTAGCTTTCCGATTCTTGAGGAACTTGAGTTCAGTTTTTCAGATTCTTCAGAACCTCTAAATTTCCCAGAAAGTCAATTATCACAGTCTGCCCCCAGACCTCACAAATTTCAGACCACACATTTCATCACCGTCGTACCCAGGTGGTGCGGCTACCTCCGACGACACAAAAACACAAGTCCGACACCCATACTCTAAGCGAGTAAGCCGCACGCGCCGCCACAGCACGGCGAACTTAACTCACGTGCCGGCGCGTCTCGTCTGTTCTCCGGCCAGATTTCCGATCGAAAACCACCCATCAGCTCGCCTGCGTATGGCCTCTCTTTTGTGGTCGTTCGTTTCGTCTTGGTAAGCATTAGTTCCTGCTTCGATAGCCTTGTTGCGTAAAAGTCAACGCAAACTCGCGAGGAACACACCCGGTTGCTTTATCACAATCTTCTAGCAGATTGTTAAAGGAGGAGAATATTTGTTTTCTTTGCCTAAACCGGAGGAATAGTTCGACGCGGTAACCTCGGGTGAATATCAGTCAGTTCAACTCAAAATCTGGTGAGACCCGTTGTTATTCTTGCTATGATTGTTTACTGATTACCGTGTGCTTGGAGAATACAGAAGTCCAAGAAGTAAATTGTGGTCACCTTCCTTTCCTCTATTCAGCATCATTTTTTCCAAAATTTGAGCCCACACATAAAAAGGCTGCTGTAAGTTTCCAATGCAATCTCAGATTTGATTTTATTTTAAAAAAAAGGGAGAAAAAAAAATACAAAAAAAAAATGTTTCATACAGGTCAATTTGACAGAGGAGTAATATGCAATTACTGCAAGAAGTCCGGACACTTGCTCAAAGATTGTAGAAAGTTGGCATTCAAAAATCAAGGAAATTTGATTGCTCATGTTGCTTCCGCTACCACCTCATCTGATGGATCAGTTGCTATTTCTTCGGATGAATATGCCAAATTTATTTGCCACCGAGAATCTCTAAAGCATTCATCTGTCCCTATCTCGGTAGCCGCGAATTCAGGTATTTCAAACACATGTCTTGTTTCGTCATCCTCGAAATGAGTCATTGACTCAGGTGCCACAGATCATATGACCGGTAATCCTAGTCTATTCTCGTCATTCCATTCATATTTACCTACTTCTAGTGTCACTTTAGCTGATGGATCTACCTCACCCGTTCTTGGATCTGGTACTGTTGTTCCAACTTCTACATTACCATTGTCGCCTGTTTTGAGTCTTCCTAATTTTGCATTTAATCTGCTTTCCATCAGTAAAATCACGCGTACTCTTAAATGTTCTGTAACATTTTTTCCTGGATATTGTGTGTTTCAGGATCTGTTAACGAAGCAGACTATTGGTAAAAGACATGAGTCAGTTGGTCTTTATATTTTGGATACATCAATCACAAAAGGTATCTCTTGTCTTGGGGTTGGGACTTTGTTAGATGCTCATTACCGATTAAGACATCCATCTCTCCCATTAATGAAGCAAATAAATCCCCAATTTAATAAGATGACCTCTTTACAATGTGAGTCATGTCAATTTGTGAAACACCATCGTACTAGCTTGAGCCCTCGAGTTAATAAACGAGCAAATGCTCCATTTGACCTTGTTCACTCTGATGTTTGGGGTGCTTGCCCGGTTGTGTCTAAAGCAGGTTTTAAATATTTTGTTACCTTTGTTGATGACTATTCTCGTATGACATGGTTGTATTTCATGAAACGTCGATCTGAGTTGTTCACTCATTTTTCTCCCTTTTATGCTGAAATTAAAACTCAGTTTAACGTTCCTGTTCGGGTGTTAAGAGGAGACAATGCCCAAGAATATCTATCTGCTACATTTAAGTCATTTATGCTTCAACATGACATTATTCATCAAACTTCATGCGTTGACACACCTCCTCAAAATGGAGTTGCAGAACGAAAGAACCGACATCTGTTAGAAACTGCAAGGGCTCTTCTATTCCAAATGAATGTGCCTAAACAGTTTTGGGCAGATGCCGTGTCTACTGCATGTTTTTTGAGAAATCGAATGTCATCTTCTGTTTTGAATGGTAAAGCTCCTTATCATTGTCTATTTCCAAACAAAGAGCTTTTTCCTATCCCACCTAATATATTTGGTTGCACTTGTTTTGTTAGAGATGTTAATCCTCATCTTACAAAGTTAGATCCCAAATCATTAAAATGTATTTTCTTGGGTTATTCTCGAGTCCAAAAGGGGTATAGATGTTTTTGTCCGAGTACTGGTCGGTATCTTGTTTCTATTGATGCATCATTTCATGAAAATACACCTTTTTCATCATCTAAGGCAAATATTCATGAGAGTAATGATGATATACTCATTTACACGATGACTATTCCCGAGTCCACACTTTCGACAAATATTCCACAAGTTACTGTTCCTGACCCTAGGCCTCCCGTACATTTGGTATACACCCGTCGACACAAATCACCTGATCACCCTCCACCGGCGATACCTGTGATTACTTATCCTGATACTAGTTCGACTCTGATCTCATGTCCTGAACCAGTACCTGCATCTTCAGATCTTGTCTCCACATCAGATCTTGACCTCCCAATCGCACTACGTAAAGGTACACGGTCTTGTACTCATCCTATTTCTTCATTTGTGTCGTACAATCAGTTATCTCCTGCGTCATGTTCTTTTATTGCTTCCATTGATTCTATTTCTGTTCCCAAATCTGTCAAAGAAGCTTTGTCTCATCCTGAATGGCGTCATGCCATGGTAGAGGAAATGAATGCTTTAGATCTTAATGGTACTTGGGATTTGGTTGACTTGCCTACAGGGAAGAAATCTATTGGATGTAAGTGGGTCTTTGCTGTTAAGGTTAACCCAGACGGATCTGTTGCTCGGTTGAAAGCCCGATTAGTTGCGAAGGGTTATGCTCAAACCTATGGTGTTGACAGCTGTCGACGGTTCAGGAATCGAGGTGACGGCTGATGTTGCGGCGGAGCATTTCCCGAGGAAATGCCATCATTATGCTTTCGCCCCACGCACAGCGCGTGGGTCGGAATACGCTCCTTGCCACGTGTCAGCCCCTCGTTGGTTTCCCTATCGGTGTTTCTCCTATAAATGCCGGGTTTTCCCTCTGAATTAGGGTTCCCAATTTCTGCTCTCTTGCTTTCGACTTTCCGCAGCTCTTCAAGTCTTCTTCCCCGCTTCCGAATTCGGCTAACCCCCTTGTAAGGTAATTTCCCCCCTCTGCTTCTTTTCTTTGTTCTGATTCCTAGCCGAAATGACTTCAATGGAGATCTCGTCAAGCTCGGGCTCCGGTTCGTCGGGTTCCTCCTCGGGCTCCTCTTCGGACAATGTGAGTGCGCGCTCCCCCGGAAAGGCCAGTATTTCCGGGACCTCTGGTTCGGCCACGACGGTAGGGACCATCCGGGCTGATGGTGAGCCGGATGATGCTTCTCAAAGTAGTGGGAGCGACGCCGGGGATGGGGATGCTGACGGGGCAGTAGATGTTATTGACGCAGTCCCCCTGAACGAGCGTCCCGCTGATTACGATTCTGGAGAGGAGGCCGAATCCGGTTCCGATATGGAGGTGTATGATCTGGGCATCCCTACGGATATGGAGCGCCACATCTGCCCGATCAGGAGCGCCCTTGACCACGACCAAGTCCTCTCCCGCGTGGCCCTCAACAAAATCCGTACTTTCTTCCCCCCGCCGTTCGTCTGGAGCGTGAGAGGCGCTGAGCATGTGATGAGGAGACGTCCGGGGATGATCGTGCTCCACTTGGATTCCGTCGAAGCCGGGCTGCGGTTCCCGCTCCATCCGTTCTATGTGGAATTCTTCCACTGCTTCCAGGTGGCCCCGGCGCAATTCATGCCAAATTCTTATAGGTTCATATCGGCCTTCTTGGTGCGCTGCAAACTTGCGGGAGTCGATGCCACTCTGGAGCTTTTCCACTATTTCTACCGCGTCACTCCCCAGAATGCCGACGGGTATCTGAGCGTGGCCGCACGTCCTGGGAGACGGTTGTTCAAGAGCTACCCTTCGTCCATCCACGACTGGAAGAACCGCTTCTTCTTCCTTCGATACGACGAGCCTCCTCTCCCCATTCGGTGGAATGGCTATCCCCCAAAGATTGAGTCACCGGAGCCGACCGACGATCTGCTTTTGGACGTGGAGAAGGTGTTGGAGGGCGGCGTCCGTCCCATAGCCGGATATCTGACCTTCGAGGCACTCTCCGGGGCAGGCATAGGTACCCGCCCGTGTCCTTGGACTCTTTCCACCCTTCGACGCTCGTCTCGGGGCACCGGGCGGTCCTGTCCTTCGAGGTGAGTGTCTTATTGTATTCCCAGCTCGTCTTTTAACCCCTCGTTGTTTCTTGCAGGTTCTCCGCCAGACAGAGACCAGATGAATCACGCCGAGTGCCTGAAGACAAGGAAGGCCAAGGCGGCCGCTGCCAAAGCCGCACTGGCGAAAGCCAAAAACGCCCCCGCCTCGGAGTCCAACTCATCGGCTTCTGATGCTGCCCGGCGAACTGCTGAGGGTGAGCAGCATTTAATCGCCACCATGCTGGCTCAGGGTTCTGGGGCCCCTGCTCTTGAAGCTGCCCTTCCACCGCCGGTCGTCCCTTCGAAGGCGGCCCCTCAAAAGGGGACGGAGAAGGTCCCTGAGAAGAAACAGAAGAGGGGCCGCGAGGCAGGCTCCACTGGTCCCCTGCTTGAAGATGCCGGCTCTCTGCCGTTGAGCCGCCCGGCGGAAGAGCTTTGGAGGGAGATGGCCCTCAAGGCCGGTCTCGAACTGCCCCGCCGTTCGTCCTCTGAGGCGACCAGCGCTGCCCTGGCAGCCGCTCTTCAGGTAATTCCTCCTTGCTAGATCCGAGTATATTTTTTCCTTGACGTTCATTTTCTAACCGTCTTTCCTCCTTTCATCCAGTCTGGGCTTCTGGTCCTTCAAGCCGAAGCTGCCCGGGAAGCCGACCTGAGAGAGGTCAAGGCCAAGGCCGATGCGGCTGTCGCCACTGCCCGGGAGGCCGCCCGTCGAGCTGAGGCGGAGGCTGCAGCCAAGGGGAGGGAGATTGCAGCCCTGCAGGCTGAATCCCGCAGCCAGTTGGCCGGTCTTGAGAGAGCCGGTTTCAAGCTTGTTCCGGTGTTCCCTGCCGCCAAGGATGCCACTCCGGAGTGGTTGGTCGACACCTCCGGCTACAGGAACACCGGGGAATTCATGGATTCCGCCAAGGATTATTGCGCCGGGGCCTTCGGTGATGTATTCTCTGCGGCGCTGGCGAAGATCCCGCCCCGGCAGCGTCTGGCGTGCGGCGTGCGGATCCTAGAGAGCTCCCCCTTGTCGCATAAGTTCCTCTACGAGGTCGGCGACAGCTCCTTCGCCGCTGGCTACAATGAGGGGGTCAAGGCCACTTTTCCCATTTTCTCGAGGCTGCAGGGGGCCGACTTCGAGCTTGCTGCAAATACAGACGACGATCTGCTGCTTCAAGCCTTGGGGAAATTGGGGAGAGACCAACGGCGGGAGGAGGCCAAGGCTAGAGGGGAAATTCCGGAACCCCCGTCCCCCGAGCCCGAAGCCGAGGAGGAGGAGCAGATCCCGGGAGGCAGCCGGCCTGAGTCCCCTTTCATGGTGTAAATGTAACTTGTAATCTTTCATTTTGCGCTTGTAATGCCCGGCCGTTAGAGCCGAAGAATATACGCAACTTTTGCCCAAATTGTCTCTATGTTCATGATCTTTACTTCGTTATTTTTGCTTTCGTTTCCTTCATCGTCTGATGTATGGAAACCCCTTCGGCGCCTCGATACACTTTGTAGCAGGGTTAGAGTCCGAGAGAACGTTCGTATTTGTTCCTCAAGGCAACGGCGTCCCCTTGTCAAACCTCCGTACGTACTCAAGTGTGCGGAGGTACTGCCCAAGCCCGTCTTCGAGCATCGACGTTAGGTTCTGATGCCGGCTTACCGTCCTCAGAGTACCCTGACAACGAAACGACGTTCGTCGGTGGCTTATGACGTATACTCAAAGTGTGGACGTATGAACGTGCTTCCCTTTCGGTAATGACGTTCGTCTGTCGTCGCGTGACATGAATATTCAAGCTACGTATGGGGACGTGCGTCTGCTTTATATGCTCCAATGGCATGAAGTATGAAAGGACGAACATAGCCTGTTGATGCGTATGTCTGCCACTAGCCGCCGATATTAGGGGCAGCCGATGGTCTTGATCTCCGGGTGTCCCGAGTTCCCCGCTGGACGTTCGTGGCTCCGATGCAGCCACCCTTGCCAAGATTATGCGGCGACGGAATCGAGGCACCTTAAATACCGTGGTAGGTACCGGTACCCAGGCGCCACGTGTCCCTCTTCGGTTGGTGTGTTCCCGCGGTGCTGCCTATAAGTACCCTGAACCCATGTAATTCATTCATACTTCTCCTTACGCTGCACAATTATCTTCTCTCTCTAGATTTCTCTCAAATCGTATCGGAACCTCGAACTCCAAAGGTACCGTTCGTTGCCATGTCTTCCGAAAATCGCTTCGACGATGGTTGTTCTTTCGGTGATGACTTGGAATATTATGAGCGGGGAATGCCGCCCCGGCCTCCCCGTTATAGTCTCAGCTTCTCGTGCGCTCGGCGTCAAGTTCAACGCCTGACGAATGCTGATAAGCGACTGATCAGCCAATGGTTTTATCCTCCCAGGGTCTATGACGATCGGCGTCTGCGGAACCCCATGCGCCATCTGCCCGGCTATGTGGTGGTCCACTTGGATTCGGTGATAGCCGGGCTGAACTTTCCCCTACATAGCTTCCATTTGGAGCTTTTCAGGGCCCTTGAGATAGTGCCTGCGCAGTTTGTCCCTGCCGCCTATCGGATAATCGCTGGCTTCATCATCAGATGCCACAGCGTCGGTGTGATCCCCACCGTGGACCTGCTGCACCATTTCTTCCGTCTGTCCCCCTTCGGACGCACAGGGTATTTGACCCTTATCGCCCGTCCGTCCATGGTCCTATTCTCGAACAATGCTGGGAATCCAGACGGTTGGGAAGAACGCTACTTCCTGGCCGGAGTAGGCTCACCGATGCCATTCTCTGACCGGTGGAATGCTTACCCCGTGAGGACGATCCCGCCGCCCATGACGGACGAGGAGCTCGGATATGCGAAGCGCATAGCCGGACTTGGCATCCAGAACCTCCGGTTGCTGGTGGCCGAGCCCTTTAAAGCTCAGGCTGGATTAGGTGCGTCCGTTTGTACTTGTATTGTTTTAACCTCTCTTCGCTGTTATGGCTCTGAACGTCTTGGTTCCCTTTGTGCAGGCATTTTTCCGCCCACGTCCACCATGAGCCGAGTCAATACCGCTTCGTCTGCCGCCGGTCGTGGACACAAGGGGCATGACAAACCCGGGAAGCCGCTCGTCCCTAAGGTCGAAACTCGGGTGACCAGGGCACGGGCTGAGGATGATTTGGGAGCCGGCGCCCCCAAGAGGCTGCGCGTCGAGGGTACTGCCTCCAAGGCCATCATAGTGGCCGACGACTCTGATGGTGAGCCCGGGAGTCCCCTTAAGCGGAAGCCCGCTTCTCGGGACAAGTCCCGTCCTTCTCCCCCACGAACTTCTGACGTTCGTCGTCTCCGGGACACTGACGCCCAGATTGCCAAGGATTCTGACGACGCTCGTCCTCCTTCGCCCCCAGAAACCAATGGGTCCTCCCTCGGTTTGATTGAATTTTCCGGGGTTGGTCCACGCAAGGAGTCAATGATGCTCTTTGGTCAAACAGCATCCTCTATATGGTGTGGCCTGAATCTCAAGGTCCCCCAGGATTTCGCTGCTCAGGAGGCACCCGAAGACCTTCTGGAGTGTGGTCAGAGCACTTTGGACAAAGCCGGGCTCTACTTCCACAGGGCCCGGATGGCCTTCGAGCACCAAGGCAGGGAGATGGCCAGGGTGCGGGCCGAATGCGACGCCCTTCTGAGGAATGCAAAAGGCAGGGCTGGCACTCTTCAAGAGAAAGCCGATGCCTACGATAAGCTCGTCCAGGAGAATGCCTCTCAGAAGGAGCTCCTCAAGAAGCAGGAGGCCGAGCTCGTGGATCTCCGCAGCCGGATGTGGGCCGTAGAGCAGGCCAAGGTGGAGCTCCGCCAGACGGGCGTGGACAACCATGTCCCTATCTATGAGGCCGATGTTGCCAAAATCAAGGAGTCCGGATCCATAGCATTCCAGAGGTCCAAGGCTTATACTGGCGCCATTCACACCATGGCCATGAAGTTCCTCCCGCGGCTCGTCGGCGAGTTCCTGACCACCTGCCCGGATGCCTATCTGGATGGGGTTAAATTGCTCCAGGCCACCCCCACCGGACGTCGTTTTCTTGACGATCTCGCCGATGATACCTACCGCAAGGGTATGGTTGGGCTAGTAGCGAAGAATCTCCCGACGTTCGAGCGTCACTTCGGGACTCCCTTCGATCCGGAGGCGGCTGGCTTCGACGTCTTGATGGCAGATGCCCATGCGGGGGCGCTTGAGCTGCTGAAGGAGCAGGAGGAAACCGATGCTAGGGAGAAAACAAAGCAGGCCCTTCCCAAGGTTCCAACCCCGGACGACGATCGGCCGTGATTCTCCGCTCATTATCTTGTTGTTGGTCCCGATTAATATGGTAATCAGTCTAGAGGGGGGGGGGGTGAATAGACTGATTGGTTTTTCAAATTTTCTCTAAGTCCAAAATGACTTATCAGAGAAGGTCTGATTCTGGTGACAGAGAGAGGCTGGTTCTGATATCAGAACTGGCCTTGGCAGCGGATTCTGATCTGTCCGGGTAGCCTCAGAAGCACTAAGGCAAATGCCTTTCTGATAACTCTGAGAACAAGATCTGCTGAACACAGATTCCAAGTCTTAGAGTTAAACAGTTAATATCCTAAGTGCAGAAATATAAATTGCAGTAATGTAAATGACACCGGATATTTTTATAGTGGTTCAAGGAACAACGCGTTCCTCTAGTCCACTGTTCCACTAGCTTTGAAGTAGATCGGTTACAAAGCTAATTCCTAGCACTTAAGAAGTTCTCCACGCCTTCTTCAAGCCTAGCTGCCACCCAGGATGCAGTTCCACGTCCTGATGGCTGGTCCTTTCACTCAGCTTCCCGGAAGTATCACCACTTCACTACTGCAGTTACTTGGACGCCCTTCTTTTCAGAAGATCCTTTGAAAAACAAAGTTTTTCCTCCAACTTGCTTCGTCACAAATGATGTTTGATGAAGTTCTTGAAGAGTTGAAGAACAGGATGAACTTTGCTCGTTTGTTGGGGATGAGAGATTTGGAGTTTTAATCTTCCCAACGTAAGCTTATCTTGTTGAAGGTTGTAGAATTTGAATCTCAAGAGAGCTTGAATTATGATGACCAAAAGTTGTGGCAAAGTTATTTTCCTGTTCTTCGGTGAGTAGCTTATATACTGAGGTTGTCTGCCCGTTGGAGGAGGAGACAACTGCATTGAATGCGCGTACTGTTGACTTGACCGCCGTTTTGGAAGGTTTCTATTTTTATAATATATCTTCCCGGATTCCTTGGTCAATCATTTGCAATCAATCCTTCAGCGTATCAGGCTCATTTAATGTGCATTAAATGCTTTCCTTTCATGCACAGTCTTCTAGCCGTTGGATGTTTTTACCCGTTGAATTCATAGCTGTTGGATGTTGCTTGAAATCTTCTAAGTGTTCGTCGGGCTCTGATCAGGCTCTTCTGACGTGTTGGATTCTGATGGCTATCTGATGAGTTGAGTTCTGATGGTCTTCTGATCTCTGATAGAACTCTAACTCTGACTCTGATAGGTCCGCTGATGAGTACCTCTGATCTGTAGTTCTCATCGGCTTATCAGATGTAAAAGTTTATCAGCAACTCTCATGGTGCAACTCTGATGGACTTCTGCTAAGAGAACTCTGATGGAGCAGTTCTCATAGAGCAAGTCTGGTCGAGCAATTCTGATGCACTTCTGATCTGATCAAAGTAGAGCAACTCTGATCGTCGACTACACTAATACTTACAATTGA